GTTCCTAGCAGAACGGTGGCCGCAATTTTTTTTTTTTTTATTTTTTTTTTTTGAGAAAGCGCTAATATTAGCGCCAATCCCGTTCGCGTCCTGACGGCGCTTCTGCCAATACGAGGATGACGACCTTATCTTTCTCTTTCACAGGGGGGAAAGCGGCATGACCAAGGTTTTCATGCTATGCTTCCTTCCATGAGTAACGCATGGATGAGTGTGGCATACTGCGTAGCCACACGGGCCCTGCTGGGCCCGTCCCGGACTTTCAGCCTAAAAGCCTAAAAGTTAGGGCTTACAGGCCCCGGTCGTTTCAGCCTGGAAGCTGAAATACGAGGGCCTGCAGGCCCTATTCCGTTTCAGCCTATTTCTGGGCCTTTCAGGCCCAGAGTTTTTCCAGCCTGAAACGGAGGGCCTTTTTCAGGCCCTCATTGTTTCGACCACCCCTAAGACTCAGGCACGAATACAGGGTTTCGGAACAGGCCAGAAATAGCCTGTTCCTCACGAGCTTGAGCAGGAGCTGCAGCTGCAGCCCCTGCCTTCCTTTGGCATTGGCAAGAGCAGCCTCCTGGACTGCTCGCACGAGTCAGGAGGCACACCCAGTAGTACATAGGGAGTTCCCATGCACTTCACGGGTAGGTAGTTGTCAGAAGGCACGAGTAGTCTTCAGGATTCGTCCGCAGCACTCAGGAGGAGCGCTGCAGTAGTCTTCAGCGCTAGGCAGTAGTATTAGCGCTAGTAGTAGTCTTCGACGCTGGGCGCCCATAGCCATAGCTGTAGTCTTCAGTGCTGGGCGCTATTAGGTGGTAGATCGTAGAGTTGGGAGAGATGGCTGGCGGAGGCCAGCGGTACTTATCTGTGGCGCCATAGCTCCAGCTCCATCTTCGAGGTACCTGCATCAAGGCGCAAACTTCACAGGCTAGTACTGGACACAGAGAGAGAGAGAGAGTTCTTCTTCTTCCTCCTCTAAGTCCACCATCTCTTCTCACCCTCTCACCACCTGACTTCTCGGACTACGACAGAGAGAGAAAAAGTTGTGACCTGAGACTTGACGACATTGGATACAGACTCGACATTTGGGATTCAGACATTTTGACGAGGGACTATTTGGGCCTGTGCCGAAGACTTGGTGTTGACGGCATTCCCATCTTTCCCTCCTCTTCGTCTCATCCCCCTCTTCTTTGTCTGTGTATGTGTGGGGCTGGCGCAGTCTTCCTGTGTGAAGCGCCAGACCCCTTTCACACCCTGGGACGATGATGATGATGTATGTTCAAGGCTGCATTGCAACATTGATTGTTCGGATCACTGGTATCTAAGTCTTCCGCTGTGTTATCTTGTACTTTGTATTGAGAGGTCGGTTCTTGTTCTGGTCTGCACGTTACAGTATGCAACAAAGAGTGTTCCGTTCTCTGCCATCCTTTCACATCGTTGTACCCTACGTAACTTTGGATGAAGCTGGCTTATTTTCTGGCCACATGCAGCAGAATTTTGTTTAGAGTCTGGCAGTCGTCATGACACCAGGCTTCAGAAGCAACATCGGACTCATCATTCCTATTGCATAAGAGAGTACTTCAGGACTATGTGACACCCGCGGCCTAGGCTGCGGGCAATTCGGCCACTGTGGCCGATGAGGCCCAGTCCACGGCCTGTTTTTTTTCTTTTCTTTTTTTATCCCTAAAAATACGTTTAAAAAAAAATGTATATATATAGGGGTGTAGGGCTTGGAAAGCCCTACAATCTTATGTTTTTTATTTTGGAATCCGACTTCGTTTAAGATTTTTAAAAAATGAAAAACGAAATTCGATTTAAACAAAATATTAATAAAAAAATTAAAAGAAAAGCAGTGAGTTTTTTTTGGGCATTTTTTATCATGAGGGATATGGTCCCTGAGTTGTGCTGTTTTTTGTTTAGAAATGGTTCTCAGTTTTTTGTAGGGGAATTAGGTGTTAAAAAAAAAATAAAGATGCAAAATTCTAAAACAAATCAACAAAAAAAGGGTTTGATTGACTGATTGATTTTTTTTTTTTTATTATTTTTTTTTTGTGTGTGTGTGTGTGTGTGTTCGGAAATGATCTCACGGCGCATCCGCCATGCTACTCCACTCTTTCAGTGGTACACCAGGTCCACCCATAGCCCATCACATGCCATTTTAACTGCCACCCATCCATGCTACCTTGCCAGCTTAGAATGACAGGCGACACACAAACAAACCAAACAGGCAAACCACTGCTGCCGCTTTACTTCTCTAAAGCTACCTCATACATTCGTGGCTAACCACAACCAGTTTTCTAAGTCCCAGATAGGATGGAGGGCATGGGGAAGGCGGGAGGGCAGATGGCACACAACGACATCAAGCAGCCAATGAAAAGGCATAGAGTGATAAGGCACGGGATGTCAAGCAACAGCGAAGGGCAAAGGCTGGAGGGCACAAGGGAGGTGGAAGGGCAGACGACACACAAGCCCACCAAGCAGGCGGGAGGGTAGACAACATGCAAGCACACGAAACAGGCAAATAGGAAAAAATACCAGTCCCAAAAAAAACGAGAAGACTGAAAAAAATAAAAATTGATGATAACAAGATTGTTTCGTCGGAGTTGCACCGACTCATCAGGAGGCTGAACCCTCGACAATCTGCGGAATCCCCGTATTTGATGGTTTGGGTTATGAACACTTTGACCCATGTTGAAGGCAGACTGTCCGCAAGCCGGACATAGCAGCGGGCAGCAACCCTGTGGAGCACCAGGCAACACAGTAGAGGCAACATGGCTGCACAACGCCAAAAACGACTGCAAGGAACGTCATGCCACGCAGGGCATGCAACTGTGTCGTGAAGCACAAGACAACACAAGCAAGGCAACAGCACTGCAGGGAACGACAGGGCGAGCGGACCAGCAGCTCGGCAACCGTGAAGCGGACCACAAGGCACCAGCAACAAGGCAACCAACCTACAGGGCACACAAGCGGCAAACCCAGAAGGCACGACCAGCGGATGAGCAGCACGGCAGCGAAGCAGCGAAGCGCAAGGCAACACCAACAACACAGCCACACCGCACAGCGAACACATCAACCTGGAAGGAACACATGCAAAGCAAGCGGGACAGGCAGCAGGGCAACGGCGGAGCGCAGACGAGGACGTCCACACATCCAACAGGGAGCAAAGCAGCACATGACCTACTCACATCACGATTGAACCCCGCAGACTGCTGGTTCCCACCACCCGCTGCGCCAGGGAGACACTCCGACGACCATCCGTCATCACCGACAGGCAACACAGACATCCCGAACCGAACGCCCCCCCTAAGAGTGCAGTAGGCACTCCAAACGAGGAACCACCGACTGTTTGGCACTGCAAGAGGGTGCTCGGCTAGAGACACAAAAGCACTTAGAAAAAATAGGAGAAAGAGGAAAAACAAACATACCTAATAGGAGAAAGCGGAAAAACAAACATACCTAAAACTGATTGTGTGTGTATGTGTGTGTGTGTGTGTGTAAGAGGAAAAACAGACATACCTAAAACTGATTGTGTGTGTGTGTGTGTGATGTGTGATGTGTGATGTGTGTGTGTGTGTGTGTGTGTGTGTGTGCCGGGGAGGGGAGGGAGGACCCCTCCCCCACCAATCAATCAATCAATCAATCAATCAATCAATGAATATTTGTTTTTTTTTCTAGTTTTTTAATTATTTTTGCTATTTACCAAGAACCAACCCCCAAAGTTTCAATTTTTTTTATATTTTTCTGTGCAGGCCGTTAGAGGCCGACGTGTTGCTCTTATTCAGGATCCAAGGATGCGAGGTTGGAAACCCATCTAGGCGGTTCAGGCTTCCTTCAGGTGGAATTCCATTTCACAATACTCAGAAAGTATTTTGCTGCTAAGTAGTACACTTGGTTGGTTTAATCTTTTGGTGGTCATATCTTAGGGTTCTACTTTTGTTGGGTTGAAAGGCAACACCGTGTCTACAGGCAGCGGCACAACGGAGGCAGTGTGAGTGCAGCCGTTAGTGGTGGGAACACTATTAGCTTGTACACAGCTTAAGAGTAGCTAGGAAGCAAACTTGGACTGTATCCATGGCGATCCTTTTGTCAATTATTGCTTTATTTAGGATCATCGAAGGGCGCGTGGTGGGAAACCCGTCTAGGCGGTTCAGGTTTCCCTGAGGCTGGCTAAAGTGTGTGTTAACTATGGGACGCTGGACCCTGTTTCCAGCAGTCTGAGAGCCTAAGCTGGGTGATGGCCCAAGTGCATACCGGGTAGAATTGTGAGGTCCCCGGCCTCGAGTGGATTCTATTGATAATAGATTGTGCGTTAAACTGGCTTTCTGCCATGTCATGACAGGAGTCCCCTGTACAGGCCTTTTTTTTTTTTTTTTTTTTTTTTTTTTTTTTTTTTTTTTTTAAGCACAATCTGTTTTATATTACAAAAGGCGGCAAAGGGGCCCGGCGGCCCTCACAAAAGATCGGGCGGCCCCAGTGGCAAACGAGGCATCATCGGCCAAGTTTGCCTCGTCGTCCACCTGCATCTAACAGGAAAAGAACGAGAATGCAATAAAAACCCAAGAGGAGAGCAAAGGAGTAATGGTAGGTAGTGAGAGGGAAGAGACTCAAAGAGTTGGTCCTTTTTTGTTTTCCCCTAAAACAGTCTAAAGCCTTACGAAACTCAATTATTCATTTTTGTCAACCTTTTTCGACAAAAAGTTCAACAGAGAATATCTGCTCCGTGGTTCAAAAAAAAAAAAAAAAAAAAAGGAAAATCATATGGTCCAAGACTCAAAGTCAAATTCTGACTCTGGAAAAAAAAAGAAAAAAAAAAGAATCCTCCTTTCTCCTACACTTTTCAAAGTTTTCAGCGTTTTCGCACCATAACTCCAATTCCGTTGGGGAACAGCTCTAGTAATAGACTGATATAATGAATGATATTGATCATATTGTATGATAATTCTACTTATAATTTTATTTCATTCCTTTTTTTTTTTTTTTTGGGCCTTCCTGTCTCTTTTCTGGAACGTTTACAGCTGTGAGCGACTACAAGCAAGCAATTCAATTTCGCAACTTGAATTTAGAAAAGGATAACATTCCTATTCAGGTAAAATAGGAGTACAGTAATTATCCTGCTTCTTTGCACCCATTGCACCGTCAGTCAGTACCAAATCTGCAAACAGAATCCAAGTGATATCCACTTTTTTAAAAAAATCCTCTCTTTATTTTTTGTGTGTTCTTTTTTTTTTGTGCGTTTTTTAAAAAATTTCTGTTTTTATTTTTTCTCTAAGGGGGCTAGCCCTAACATTATTACAACCGACGTGTTTGGAACCAAACACGCCCGACCGCAAGAGCGGTAACTTATCCCTTTTTTTTTTTTTTTTTTTTTTTTGAGAGCAGTAACCTATCACTCATAAGCTAAATGCAATAAGCAGATGACTCACACACCACGTTTTCATGCATTCAACCTTAGAGAGAGAGAGAGAGAGAGAGAGAGAGAGAGAGAGAGAGAGAGAGAGAGAGAGAGAGAGAGAGAGAGAGAGAGAGAGAGAGAGAGTGGGGCTTTCAGAATGTGCTCTGGTAGAAATGCGTTAGGGACTGCCTGTGTCGTATGTTTGGTTTGCCATTTTCTCAAACTTTAAGTCCGCTCGCATGTTGCAGCTGTATGACCTACAAACTTCTCTGACTGGGCCCATTTTCTCCTTTGAAAAACAGAAAATTTAAAAGGGAAAAGGAAAAAAAACAGAGCTTTGCTGATCAAGTGCACAGTCGGACAATGGGCCTCGCTCCATTACTCTCAACATGCACAAAAAAGACAAAAATCATGGTGGTGTATGTTCCATGTTTCTAGCGGAAGATTCACTCTCATTTTGCGCAGCTCCTCCTGGATGTATTTGGTATCAAGATAAGTCCACATACTCTCGTTTTGCACACGTAGAGAGTAGTGGAGCCAGGCCCAATGTCATGTTTTGGCTGTGCAACTCAAGATCTTTGGTCCACTGCTCACACCACATTCACAAAAAGGACAAATATATATATATATATATATATATATATATATATATCGTCAAATAGAACTGCGCAGTAAACCGTAGGCAGAGAGGGAGAAGAGGACAACAAACGA